AATAGAATTTGCCAGTAAAACCATCTGGGCCTGAACACCATTTAAGAAGACAGAGATTTTAGTTCCAAGTTCAATTTCTATGATACTTGTGGACTTATTTGAATTATATATTTCATATTAAATGTATCTTTGGACTTCACAGACTAAAAAAAAAAAAGTAAGCCCTAGTATGACAGTGGGGAATTACTACTTGCAAAACACAATTTGGACAGAACTGAAAACAATAGAAAGGAAACTTCCTCCTAGAAATCTATTCATACCCTCAAAGATAAAACAAAATTAGGTAAATTAATGCTGTTTTTTAAAATTCATGGAAGAAATATCTCCGGAAAAAATATATATGTGAAAAGTGGGGAATTCTATGCGGAAAATACTTAATAAGATAGTTGGAAACTTGGAAAATAAGTTTAGGTAAATCTCCCATAAAGCAGGGCAAATGAACAAACAGAAAACTGGATCTAATATCTGAATGGTAGAGATTTGACAACAACAAAAAGAAGAAAACAAAAGATAAATTATACAATAAATAATTCAAGACTGAAGGCAATGAATCTTCATAGAGGATAAGTCCATTGGGTGTCCAACACAATGGATAAATATAGACCCACACCAGGACAGGGTAGCATAAAATTTCAGAACATTCAAGTCAGATGAATGCTCTTTTTAAAAAATTAATTTTATTGGTACATTTTAGATATACATAATGATAACCTTCATCATGGGGAATTTGTACCTGTACATGATAGATCTTGAGTCTTTATTCCCCATTCTCCTCCTCTTCCTGCAACTCCTCTTCCCCTCCTGACTTACACAAGCTTTGTTTCCATTTTTCCTTCTATTCTTTTTTTCCTTTTCTCTTCCTTCCTTTCTTCTCCCCCATCCCTTGTTGCCCTACCCATTTGAACATTTTCTTCCTATTTCACAATATCTATAATATTATTTTGGTCTTTATTTATCCTCTTGGTTTCTCACACCATGAAATAAAATGCTATATTTAAACATGTGTGTCCAATTTATTTCACTTGAGTATGGTCTCAAGGTACATCCATTTAGCTAGAAATGTCTTGAGTTCATCCTTCTTTATGGCAGAATAGTACTCCATTATGAAAAAAAACACCCCATACCTATATCAGTTCATCAGTTGATAGGCATTTGGGCTGTTTCCAAGATTTACTTATTATAAACTGTGCTACTATAAATACGGATATGCATATATCACTGTGGTAAGATGCTTTTAATTCTTTCAAAAAGGTACCAAGAAGGGGAATAGCATGGTCAAATTGAATCTTTAATTTTAGTTTTTAAGGAATCTCCACATTGATTCCCACAGTTGTTGCACCAGTCTACACTTCCACCAACAGTGTTCCTTTTTCCTCACAGCCCCATCAGCATTTATTATTAGTTGATTTCTTAATAATAACCATCCTTTCTGAAGTAAGATGGAATCTCAGTTTTAATTTGCATCTCTGGAATGACCAGTGATGTTAACGTTTTTTCATATGTTTATTTGCCATTTCTACTTCTTCATCTGAGAAATTAATTTCAGATGCCAATTTTTGGATTGGGTCTTAAAATTGCAGCGTCTAATTTTTATGGTTGTTGGGTTTTTTTGTTTTGTTTTTTTGAGACAGGGTCTCACTGCGTAATTCAGACTGCTCTGGAACTCAATGTGTAGCCCAGGCTGGTCTCAAACTCTCAGCGATCCACCTGCCTCAGCCTCCCAAGTGCTGGGATTACAGGCGTGCGCCACCATGCCCAGCTTTTTAAGTTCTTTATATGTTCTAGACATCAGTCCTTTGTCTGAGGAAAAGCTAGCAAAACATTTTCCCACTCTGTGGGTAACTCTTCATTCTGTCCGTGGTTTTTTGGTTTTCTGGGGGGTTTTTTGTCATGCAAAAACTTTTTAATAGGATGAGATCCCAGTTGTTGATTCTTTGTGATATTTCCTCTGTGAATGAAGTATTGTTCATAAAGTCTTTGCCTACATCTATGTCTTCGAGAGTTCTACCTATTCTTTCAGCAGATTTAGTGTTTCTGTTTTAATATTTAGATCTTTGATCCATTTCAATTGTAGTTTAATGCATGCTGAAAGATATAGGTCTAGTTTTAATCTGTGGCATGTGGAAAGCCAGTTTTTCCAGCACCATTTATTTAAAAAGCTATCTTTCTTCCAGTGAAGGGATTTGGCCTCTTCATCAAAGGTAAGTGTCTTTGGAGTTGTTTCTTCATCTTACAATCTGTTCCACTGATGTGCAGGTCCATTTTTGACACTAGTATGCTGTTTTTATCCTGGAAGCTTTGTAGTATTATTTCAAATTGGGGATTGTGATGCCTCTGCCTTCCCTTTCTTGCCCACAATTGCTTTTGCTAATCTAGATCTCTTCTGGTTCCAAATGAATTCTAGAATTGTTTTCTCTGTAGCTAGATACAAAGTCAACACTCAAAAATCAATAGTATTCCTATACACAAATAACAAACTCACTGAGAGAGAAATTAGAGCAACAACAACCTTGATGACGGTGTCCAAAAAAATGAAATACCTAAGAATCAATCAAATGAAATAAGTAAAAGACTTTTACATTGAAAACTGCAGTACTCTGAAAAAGGAGATCAAAGAGGATATTAGAAAATGGAAAGATATCCCTTGTTCTTGGATAGGAAGAACGAATATAGTGAAAATGGCCATACTTCCAAAAATTGTCATATTTAATGCAATCCTTATGAACATACAGATGAATGCTCCTACAGAGAGGAGGAAAAAGGAAAAAATACTCAGAATGGCTTTTCATTTATTCATAAATACTACTTGATATTAGAAAGTAATGTAGTGGTATCTCCACATTTCTCAGGGACAATTATTTCTACATAATTATATACTTGGAAAAAATCATCATTCATGTTTAAAGGAGAAAATAAAGACATTTTCAGATACCTGGGAAGCTCTTGGAGAGTGTATTCCATAAAAGTGAAGAGATAACCAAGAAAAGACAAGAGGTGAACAGGGGAGGGGAGATGGAGCATAGGAAGGAGGTAATGACAGGAAATGAGATTCCAGTATGTTTCCCAAGCTCCTCACTGGAGGGCATCTAGTCCAGCTCAAGGCTGTTCAGAACTCTTCAGGAGAGGGAATCAAAAAAAAAAAAAAGGAAAGATGAAAGTTATAAATATGAATGGAATTACTGATGTAAAAATTAAAATGATGAGGTTTTTTTTTCTGAATCTCATTACTCTTGCCTACAAATCTACCTTCTTCAACAATGCCGTCTTGCTTTCTCTCTTCCCTGTTGCTTTCCAGGTTTAAAAACTTCTTTCCACATCCTACCCCAGAACTTGGCATTTGGTCTTCCCACTGTCTGAAATTTTTTTGTCTCATAGCCCTTTCTTTCACATGACTGGCTTCTTCCCAGTAGTAAATAAGGTTCTCAGTATAAACATGCCCGAGCAGGGAGGACTAATACGACCACTTTATCCATCCTCTTGAAAGTTTTTGGTTATATGTGACCTGATGCTTTCTTGATTTTTGTCTCCCTCCTTAGACTGTGAGAAGCACTGTAGCAGCAATTTCATTGACTGAGTTTGGGGGAGGGGAGACTGGCAGAGCACACTGCTGCATGTGTCTGAGTGGGTCGCGGAGGCATGGCCTTGGGGTCTATGTCTGGTCCCTCATCCCTTCCTCTCTGGCACTGTTCTTTTTCTCTGGTTCCTGGCCACTGTGAACTAAGCAGCTTTGTTTCACCACACCCTTCTGCCATAATGTTTCTGCCTTGGAGTCAGCCAACCATAAACTGAATCCCCTGAAACCATGAGCCATATTAAACTTCTCCTTTAAATTGTCCAAGCAATGGGAAAGCTGACCAATACAAGCATGCAAGCAGGGCATGCATTGGTTGAATTTAAGAGTGTTAACTCCTCATCTATACCAAGGGGATAAAGAGGGTTTGGAGCTAGAGACCTGAAGCCAAGGCTTGTGAATGTGCATTGGTAAAGCTGCTCTGGAAGACTACCTCTCATTGCCTCACTAGGGATGAGAAGGGACAAGGGCTTCCATCTCCTTACCCTCTGCCTTGCTGAGACTAACTCTGGATTCGCTGCTGTAAGCTATTTCCTGAAGCTTGCCCTGGGATGAGGCTCCTACTGTGCCTTGTCAGTAGACCAATGAGACCTCCCTTTCAAAGTCTCCCCAGACAGTTGCTCAGCGGCCCTGCTCTGCACAGCCTCAAAGCAACTGAAGGACATACTCATCACAGTTAATGCACTCTAAACAGCAACTTTGATGGAACAGGAACTAACAACAAAATGCACTCTCCCTGCATTTCTCTATAACTGGAGAACAAACAGTGATTATTTGCTCTTTCACCAGACAACATCTCACTTCTGAAGAAGGCTGCCAGGGTCTGCTGTGTGGGACCAGGATGTCTGTCCCATTAACCTGAGGCTCCGCCTTACCCATGAATTGAGGTAAAATCCTTGGCTCAGATTTAAACTGTCCCATGAATAATTATCTTAAAAACACCAAGAACAGGCTTCTTACAAATTTATTGATCTTTTAAAATAAGTTTATATTTACAAGATACATTATAGCAAACATCATTTAACATAAACTTATCTAAGATATGAAAACAGAACGTGCATTCCCTTCTTATTTAATGGAATGCTCAAAGTAAGTGAATGAGAAACGAATTAAAATAGCAGCCACTCAAAGGCAGCCTTCAGAAGAGGGGACATGGTGCCCCAAATCCTGACAAGACTGAGACAGCTACTTTAATGCCTGGCACCCTCTCTCAAAGCCAATGTCAGATGCCCTGAGTCTTATGAGGATCAGGTGGATGAGGTATGACTATACCCTTGAAAACAGGACCATTATCATCTAAATATGGTAACTTGAGGCTAATAGACATAGCAGGTGCCATAAGAGTACATTCCAAGGCTGAGTCGAGTGGTACACCCTTCCCCCGCATCCAGCGCTGACCCCCACAGCAGCTGGCCAGGCCACCACTGACCTTCCTGTCAGGCATCTCCGCAGAGAGTAGGAGGCGCCTCCCCCACAGGTCCGGGAGCAGTCACTCCAGTCGCCCCATGCATCCCAGTTACTGTCTCTGTCTTCCTCTGAGCGAACATTTCTTGAGGTCTAGACAGGAACGGAAAGAAAAAAATCACCAAAACTCAGCAAGTCAGAGGATAAATATTGCATCATCTCAATTGTAGGAGATGTCTAAAGTCATCCAACTCATTGGGACAGAAAGTAGAATGGTGATTGCCAGGGCCTGCAGCAAGAACTGCTGAATGGGTATAAAGATTCCACCTTACAAAAAAAAAGATTGTAGAGATCTGCTATATTACACATTGTTAATATTTAAGAATACTGTGCTATAGACTTCAAATCTTTTTAAATTGGTTTCATATCAAACCTCAATTTAGAAAGAAAGGGAAGGGAAATGAGATGGTGCTTTTCTCAATTAAAACAATATAGATTAGCAATATGTGATCAAATCTATTATATTTTAAGGAGAATCCAGAAATAAGAGCCCCCAAATCATTGATAACTTCACAAAACATATGAAAAGTAATTCCAGATTTATTAGGAACTTATATTAAAACACTAGAGCCATAAAATACTAGAAAATTATAGATTATCAGTCATATTGAGTTAGTACAAGAAAGACTATCCTAGATATGTCAACAAGCGTAGAAACTGTTTTAATTTACAGATAAAGACAGAGATCTACAAATGTGCACATAAAAATGTAGCAGTAGAAGGACATGTATATGGGCTAAAAGGGCACAATCCAATCACCTCTATGAATGGAAGAGGGGAGACTACAGTGAATGGTGTTGGGGAGAGACACAAAAAGAACCCAAGTGTTGTGTTTCCCCTTAACTCCAAGAAAAAGGTCAGAAGCAAATATGACTTAATGGTGAAGTCCATGAAGCCAGATGACGCAATCATGAATACCAGTCTTGTTACCCTCTGAACTTCCATGGGTCTTGGAATGTCTTTGGAAAAATACTTTTATGGTAAAATGCAATCATTAGGCAACAATATACACAGGCCTATATAATTTTTAATACAGGTAAATGTGTATATGTAAAAAGAAAGGAGAATTAAAGTCTCACAGTGATTATCTCCAGTTGAAAGAGCTTGGAGTGATTTCAACATTTCGTTTTGGTTTTTGTTTCTATGTATTTTGTAGAATCTTAAGAAAAATAAAATACAAAACACCTTGAATAAGATAAGCAAGCAAATAAACAAATACCTCCTTCTATTGGCATACAGGAAAGTTCAAGTCACGAAGTTCTTGGCTGGAGAATGGAAAAGTTTATTAAGGAAGCTGTGACGTGTAATAAGCTGCAACCTGCAATGGAAGCAGATATTGCACAGGTTTCTTTAATTCTGTAGACAAATTACCTCATCCATCCGAAAAAGAAAAAATTAAATTAGAGAGATTTGTAGAAAGGACCTTCAAAACTGAAATGAAGAAATAATGACTGGAAGCAAAGAGGGAGTTTTCCAATAATTTTCACTCAAATCTCCAGGGTTAGCAGGTCTTATGGCTTCTTGCCAAGCTACCTATTTATAGCACAGTATGAAGTCCTGGTAAAGGCAATATTTCAGTAACAGTCAAGTGAAAGGAAAGGCTAAATATCTGGCGACTGATCAAATCTGTCATCAGGAACAGGGGCTAATTAAACCCATACTATTTACAGTTCTAATTAGACCATGTTCAGTTCAATTTTCTACCCTTAAATGTCACCAAACATAACCATCCTACCCATAACATAATATAAAACATAAAGTTTTAATTCATAAAAAATACAATAAGCAGTTTAATATGTTCATCTGGATATTTAGGTTGGTTAAGTCCAAATCATTTAGGTAAATGTTTAAAATACACACAGCTGAAATTGATTTTTCATTTTGTCACATGATATACTGATAGGCTGAATGTGAAAAGTTGAAAAACATCACCATATATATTTTTAAATGGAAGTTGAGAGTTCTTTGCAATATCATTTTAATTTGTTTTTATTCCCACTATCCCATGTGTTCAGTGTATAGTTAGAATCAGGTTTCTTTCCATAACTTCTCTACCTTTACTTACAAAAAACTTCTTGATTCTAAAATAATTAAAATCAGCATGTTATTAAATGCAAGCATTTGGTTTCTCTGACTAGACCAGTAAAACATTTTCCCTCTAAGAAAAGAGAGAGCAAATGGAATCTCAAGAGAAATCCTCAAGGTTTTCTTCTCTCCCTGTCCATTAAAATGTTTGAATTTTAATTGGAAAATCCAATGCCATATCCTACCAGCCAGTCCTCCTGCCCTTTACCCACATTCTTTATCCAAAGAGAAGAGATTCTATTCCTGCTTTCCACCCAGTTCTCCTGTCTTCCCTTTGATACTGGCAGCATGATGCTAACACACACACACACATTCAGAAACTGCTCCACTGAGGCAGAAAGAAGTGGCCAGGGCCAGTTCAGAAAAGGCATGTAGTCTACGGCCATACCACCCTGAATGCGCCCGATCTCGTCATCAGAAAAGGCACGTTTGTACTTTTCCTTAGAGCAAGGGAGGACCTGCTCTCGCCCTCCAGCCATGGTCTGTGGGTCCCGACCTCTCCCCCTGGAAGAGCCCTCTCTGCAAGCTTCCCCGAGGCCTGCAAGATATGGCCAATCTCCATGGTGCCTTCTACTCCACAGCTCCTGCTCCTAAATGATTGTGTTCAGTCTCCGCACACAACTGAGCCTGAAACCTTTTTAATCTTAAAATATAGTGTCCAGAATACAACCTGTCTCTCAGAAGACCACAGACCTCACACTGTCCCTGTGTCCATGTTTCTTCTGATGACATCTAAGTTGAGTCCCCTCCCCACCTGCCTCCCTCTCTCCCACCCTTTCTCCACCCCCCACCTTCCATCACACCAGGCTGGATTTCACCAAGGAGGCAATACTGCTATGGTTAAAAGCAGTTTGAAGCTGGGTAAGTTTCTTAACCTTTCTAAAATCCATCTCCTAAAGCTGATCATTACCTAAACAGGATTTAAACAAAGTAACATATAAAGCAAATTGTACAGCACATATAAAGCAAATTGTATAGTACTATAAATGTAGCTGGTGAATGTCTCAACAAATGTCAGCAAGTGTTGTTTTCCAAGATAACATCTTCTTCCAAGCCACAATGCAAAGCCAGCTCCCTTCCATGTGTACTTACGCAAGACTTAACATTAATCATTACCGAACTCCCTCTTGTTGGTTTTGGACCAGGACACCAGCCTGGTGAGGTCCGCTGAGCCCTGACTTCGGCCCCCCTCCCCACCCCATCTAGAGCCACACCACTCATCTCTGCAGCTCCCATGTGTCCACCGAGTCACTGATAAACGTGCTGGATTTCGCTGCCTAATCTCTAGAATGCCATGAATGCATATTTCTGCTTTTGTAAAATAGTAAGCAGACCATCATGCCAAGTAAGCAGCCAACTAATCAGACTTGGAATCCGTGAACACAGTTTAATGTTACAATAAAAATATGAAATAATACTAATCACATCGTCAAACGTCAGGGTTTGGGGAAGAAATCAGCCACTCAGAGGGAGGGGACCAGGCAGGGTGGAGTCTGTGCTGTTGGGCGGTGCAGTGTGGTAGTGAGCCTCCTGGGAGAAGAGGAATGCAGCGGGCTTACTGTGGCCAGCAGAGCCCTGAGATCTAGTGACAGTGACATAAAGCTGACACTGGTTCCAACTTTGGCCTCTGACTAAACCAGAAGAGGCAACTTCTGTGTTTATCAGTTGAGTACCACAGTTTAAATTCCCCCTTTTCAATCGTCTCTTTGAGCTGTTTTAAGTAATTCTTTAAATTCCATGCAAATGTTACCTTCTGAGGTCAGCTGTCACCTGAACTCCATCCAAGTCTAAAAGAACCGACACCAATCATTCTGTGCGCCTGCCTGGGTCAAACTGTGGGAGACCTGGAAGCCTGGGTCCCGCCAAAGGCAGCCAGTAGCCCAAAGAGAGGAGTCCTGCACGCTAGCACCAACCAATGCTCTCTCCGGCCACCTCCACACCCTTGGGGACACTCTTGTCCCCACCTCAAAGGAAGCAGCACTGGCCTTAGATGTGGTGCTTGGTGGGGCCTACACAGAATACCTTTCAGCTTCACTCCAGACAAGTCCTGCGTCCTCCTGGACATCTGTGTTTGCCACACTTCCCTTCAAGACTCACAGTCCAAGCAAATACAGCAGCGGAGCCATCAACACACAGGGCAGCGTTTCCTATCTGGGATCAAACACACCTGCCCCTGTGCACGCCTGACTGCAGTGTCCTGTATTTCAATGTCTTTTGCTCCTTCCCCTTCTATGTTGCAAGCAGAGCCACATTTCTGTTATTCCACCGTCTTCTGTTTTATCTGGGCTCTTGCCCAGGTAACGCATGCTCCTGAGTGGTGCCCGAGGACTGGGATGCCTGTGCTCATTTCTTTACATAAACACTTGCCAAGGAGGGCAAGCAGGGATCACCTCAAGGGCTCTCAGCTCAGAGAGCAGCAGGTGAGTGAGGTGAAAGGAAGAGGTAAAGAAGAGTGAGCCAGGTATAGTAGTACACAGCTGTACTCCCAGAACTCTGGGAGGCTGAGGGAGGAGGATCACACATTTGAGTCCAGCCTGGGAAACTCAGTGATTTAGTGAGACTCTGTCTCAAAATTTTAAAAATTTTTAAAAAGTGGGGCTGGGGGATGTAGCTCAGTGTGAAAGCCTGGGTTCGATCTCAGTACCCAGGTAGGGTCACGTGCCAGCACTTGTGTTTTTGTTCATCTCTATTTTTTAATGTTACATAGTGAATGCAGTGAATGCTCAATATAAATTCTTTTGTTTTACAGGGGGGAAAAAACACTACAGGGAAATCTATGAAAACATATCCAAAGAAATCATATACACTTTGTGTTGTTTGGTTAAAACTATCAGGTTTAAAGACCTCTTAGGAAATCATATTTTCCTAAGGTCTACTTAGGGAATATTTTGGGTGAAAAATTTTTAAAAAAGATACGGTTTAGTCATTTATATGATAGGATTTGCTAAAAGCCGAGGATATTGTAGGGACATGTTCGCAACTTCATAAAGACTCTAGTCCTACCTACC